CATCCAACCATAAGTCCAAAACCTGAAGATTTACTATCATAAATGAGGAAAAGCAGCAAATTCTTACATTTTAAAAACTAAAATCAGCAAATGTTCAATCGATTATCAAAATAGCTGCTAAGTCATTTTCTTTCAATTATCTGATAGATTATTCGACTAATCTTTGAAACTCTAGTGAGTAATTATTGGGTGGAGGTTATGGATTATTGCAGCCCGTTCTCATTCCCAACATGTCAAATGCCGCCACTTGGTCAGTGATTTCGGCATCAGACAGCAAAGCAAAAAGGCACCATTCGCAGTGGTATGACACTCTGCTGGGTGGCAGCAGTTTATAACACCACTGGTTTCAAACTGACGCTGCACCTTTCGCAGCAGTATGATAAGCTGCTGGGTGGCGTCAATTTATAACACCGCCCAACAGTGTCAATTTGAAACACTGCCAATAACAACATAATATAAGGAGGTGGAAAGTTCCTATTGGGCGAGTGGGAAGGGCGGTGAATGGGTCCAACAAACCCCTGGACTTTCACACGAGAGCCCGTTGTTCGCTTTCCATATCAATGTCAGTCAAACCTAAGCATGTGCTTTTGTTGCACAAGGAAATATGTCATATGTTTATCTTTAAGAAGACTACGAGTAGAAACTGTACATTTCCTGTAACAACGGAAGTGTATTTTGAAAAGACACAATGCATGTAACAGTCGCGAATAGACACGGTGTCCCAAAACGTCATCAACAGATGCAGGAGGATACCTAACGATGATATTTGATGACTTGGGCTGAGAATGTGTTGATTATTGTGTTACATGTTTTTATCTTTTACTGTATGTCTTCGCCGTTCAGCTGTGGTTGTTTGTTTTATTGTCATGAGCACATGGAGGCAAATTCCCAACAACTAAGTTGTACGACAGTAAAGTATAGTATCTTGAAATTATGGAGGCATCATTTTTTAATTTGACATGATACCATTCAGGGGGTTTATCCTGATGTAATAAAAACTCTTCTTGTGACCTCTTAGATTCATGCAATGACCTCCTGTGAGGGCCCCGACCCTCAGATTGAAACCCACTACTAAATAAATTGTAAGATCAACACTCACTTCTGTCCTTGAAATCGTGTGGGAAACTGTTGAGGAGACATGAGAAAGCATGTTAACAATTTTCACGTTACATTTTAATCTTTAAATATTAGCTCAAGTGACATATTTACAACCAAACTCCACCACCCAGGAAATCCTGCAGTAAAATACACACATACCCCAATTTGACCTCTTTAATCCGTTTGATGAAGGCTTCCCTCTTCTCTTTTGCCTTCTTGCTTAGATTTTCCCCTTTTAATCCATCAGAGAGGAAATATTCAAGGTCTAAAGACAGAAAAGACACCAGGTCAAACATTCATACAGTCTGATATCACTTGCTGGATGTGGTGTCATATTTTCCACTGCTGCTGGAGATCATGTTACCTATCAAAAGCAAAACAGCACAGCGGTTTGCAGCCTTGGCGTCAAAGCCTGCTTTGTTTGATAGCCATCAGCATGGATGAATGAGATACAGCAGCACTGTGGTGTGTTGACGAGATGCAACAGGACAAAGTGCAACTGAAAACTTGGTCACCCATATTGAGCCTGCGCTTCCTCATTTTACAAAACAGTCTCTTTAAAGCTGGACTTCGTGACACAAGCTCTACATAATCACGGTAAACAACAAGCTGTGTGTAAACAAACATTAATTTATGAAGGTTTTACCTGAAATGAGCGCGGTTAGCTCCTCGGGAATGCCTCGCATTGTAATGAGAGTTTGTCGGTGGCAGCGTTGGACCGTCCGGAGAGGAAACTTCACCCGACACGGAAGCAGCAGAGACTTCACGGACACGGAAGTTAATCTGCTAATTATTTATCACTGACCACACAGTGCCGCTGCAGAAAAAACCCCTGAAACCTTCCTGTTGTTCAACACTGACGTTTATTGGTCCATCAGCTTGTGTGTGTTTGTGTATATAGTTTCTGATGACGGGGAGCTGATGCTTTAATGGAGCTGCGGGTCTTTACACACTAATAAAGTCAGCGGATAAACGCCTGATCATATTTTTGATTGATTCCAGATAATATTTCCTCCGGCACTTAAGTGTGACTGACTCACTGGACACATTGGGAGTGTCTTTTTTTACAATGATGCAAGCACTTTGGGTTTATGAATATGTCAACATTGTAAATCTAAACAGGGATCATTAATAGTTGAGGAGGCAATTATATAAAACTGTTCTAGAGGTTTCTGTGCCAGATTTTTTTCAAGTCTTCTGCTGCACTGGGTTATTTCTGAATCACAGTTTGACTATTTGCATCTCATTTATGAGATTTTAATCAGCTTCTATTGTACAATCAATCATTTTTCTCCCATCCTATCTGATGCAGTAACAAAAAACACTTCTTACATCAAGTCAAACCTGTGCCTCCTGGTGTATTCAGCGAAAGCAGCTGGTTGTCATATTGTTTACAAAGGTGTCCCTCATCCATTAGTCATCTTTTGACAGGCAGTATCACCCAATCCAGGTTTAAAGACTGAGCCTTTGAACTGTGTAGCCTGTTGTTGTGGGAGAATGACACAGAAATGTCAGTGCAGCTCTGGAGGGGCCGCATGAGCGGCTTCGGCTTGTGCTTGTAGCTGCAGGTGCTGAACAGGGTTTGTCAGTGCTGCCAGAAACATTTGATTTACTCCAGTTTCACCCTAGCAGCTTTGGGTTGAATTGAACACACATACAATATCTTGTCTCTCCTTGAAGCTAAAGCTAAAAAATAGCTAAATTTTGATGACTGAGATCCAAAGATACTTAAGAAAATATGCCACTGATGCATTTTCTACACTTTAAATGTTGAATTGTTAGGAATGTTTATTCAGAATCATCATAAAAAAGGAGCACCAGATCTTTAGACTGTCTTGTCATGTGTCCCTCACTCCCTAAATCTCAGATCATACTCTGCACAAAAATTCTGACATCACTTCCTGTTCAGAGTTATCCGAGTAGCCAATAAATTCTTTATGAGCCACAAACCCTCTGAGGTCATTTAAAACCTGACCCCCTCCTGACCTGGCAGTAGTTCCTCCCAACTTGGAGAGGAGAGGAGAGCCAGCTTGACCTTTGACCCCATGTGTGTGCATGTGTGTGTGTGTGTGTGCGTGTGTGTGTGGGGAGAGAGGGGGGGTTTGCTGGCACAGTGTTGTATCTAGTTTCCCATAAAGCTTCATCTACTTTTCTGTCATTTAACAAACTCCTCCCTGCGTTGGGTTCCTTCCCCTTTTCACCACTCCTTTCATGTTGGTAAAGCACTCACTGCACAAAGGCACCAAACTCTTTCATGTAACTATAATTAACAACATCGAATAATCAAGTGCATGAATTATGTAATGATCAAATATGCACATTGCAGCTGTCTTGGTGACATCAGTAAATTAAGGGAGAATGGTGCAGCGTGCTCTCAAATTATAAACTCTTTTTTAAATAGTAGATATCATGATAAGTCCTATTTGTGGTTAGTCTAGCCTGCAGACATTGTGGACACTGACATGTGCTCGTGCTATTTATAATGAGCTCAGTGGCTTCAGCATCAAACCATATCTGACTGCCTCTCTGCCTCCTGGGCTTTCCAGACTTTCCCCTTTCTATTTTTAAAATGATAAAAATCAGCCATCAATTATGACTAAACCTCAGAAGGAGAAGCAGTTCAACACCTCACCTCACCTTTTTATATTTTATTGTTATTGCTGTGAGGTTCCGAGTCACACCGCACAATCCTGAGAGCGGCACGATGAGTAGCCTACAGAGACACTGAGCCTGCGAATGAATCACGGTGCCGGCAGAAACTGGTCAGAATAATTGATCCGTGTGATTGTTAATCTTGTGATTCCTGGAACAATCTCTGGCTTTTCATCGACCACTTTCCCCTAAACATTTAATAACTGTGTCCTAATGAAGAAACAGAGACCACAGCTGTGTCACTGTGGCTTCTGTCTGTGTGTGTGTGTGTGTGTGTGTGTGTGTGTGTGTGTGAGCCGAGGCTCAACTGGTCGCTGTGAATTCCTTCAGCAGGAAACAGGGACGAGCCGTTTGGCCCAAATCAACAAACATTTACCTTTGTATAATATTTTACTATAAATTAATGTTATAAATAGCCTGCATTCTTTTATTTGTCTGAAATCTATTTTAGCCACTGGTTACAAAACTATTGAATTCTAATGTACACCAATTTGAAATAAAAAAAACTCTTACGTAGGCTGATTTATAATTAACCTTATATAATTATAAATCATAAAAAGTTTTTTTGATGAAAAAACAATAGCTTACAAGGCGCGATTCTTAATTCAAAAAGATTGTATTACACTGCGGATCAGGCTATAAACAAGCACCCTCAGTGCTGTGAGTTTTATAGGCAATAAAATTTAATTAGAGAGCCAAGAAAAGTCATAGCTTTTGGCCTGGGACTCCTAGCAGGCAATTCTCACTGCAAATGTTCTTTTTCTGGGTTTCAACATGCGGGGGTAATGAATCTGCTCCGGTTTTTTTTTCTCCTCTGCTCAGATAAATCACTGAGGTCTGTAAGCATGGTCACAGTGGGGAAAAAAACTCGGCTAAACCTGTAAGAATAAACAAATATTCTAAAAATGTCACTTGCATTTTATTTGTATTTCATTCCACTGCATCTATTTGGCTGATTGTTTTTGGGGAAGTTTGACATTATAAAATCAACAGCGTCTTTATACAAGAACATTAATTTCAAGACTATAATTTAGAAAATATCCCGTGGCTTTTAATTTAAACAGTTTATATTATCCTTATTTAAATACTGCGAGAGTCTATTCAGCATTATGAATTATGCATGAACATAATTCATTTCTCTCATGCCCAATATTGGTACATATATATCTTTTTATGTCTTAATGTATATGCCTATAATCGATGAGCTCTCCAAACTTTCTTGCTGTGAAATAAGACAATAGCGCGGCTGATTGCAATCAATGTAAAGTTTTATTTCAGGAAAAATATTCTGCTCAGTTATAGTCAAAATCCATATAAAAATAAACTCTCCTCTCGCAGCCTGTGATGGAATAAACAGCCCATTTAGGCTTAATTTTTGCTTTAACTTACCGTGAATGTGAGATATTAATGCTAAAACTGATAATCTGAACGCATGTCTGAGTTCAAATAAAACAAATGTTTCAATAGCTCATGTTCTGCAGGTCGATTGTTGTGAGTGTTTCTGAGAAAAGGTCAAAAGTTTCGGATGATAGAGGAAGGGGACTCGGTGCAGAATCTGACAAACTTGGTGAGAAAGAAGAGGAGGATGAGAAAACTTGGAAATCCTGCAAAGAGACGTCCAGGCCCGGGGAATGATCATTGTCTGGGCCTATTGTTGACACGCAGATAGGAACAGTGGGAGCCGAGTTAGGAAAATGTTTCAGATTTTTCTCATTGCTGTTCAAAGGCGCAACAGCCGGGCTTTGGTTCTCCCCATTGTGCCCGTTCTGACAGTGTTGTGAGGTTAAGGTATTCTGGTGGAAATACCTCTCCCTTTCCAGGAGCGTCCCGGCAGCGCTGATGTCCTCCGCCTGCTCAAACTCGTCCTCCGGCCCGTCGTCCAGGCAAGCATATTTCCCCTCACTGTCCCGGTTCTCCTTGCAGTGCGTCTGCCTCTTGTGCTTCATCCGCCTGTTCTGAAACCACACTTTCACCTGCTTCTCCGTTAAATCCAGCAGAGCAGCTATTTCCACTCGCCTCGGTCTGCACAGGTATTTGTTGAAATGAAACTCCTTCTCCAGCTCCAGAAGTTGGGTGTTGGTGTACGCAGTCCTCAACCTCCGGGATGCCGCTCCACCGCCAACACCAACCTCTGGTACCTCTGGTGAACCTAGAAAAAAATAAACCAAATATTATTATTTTTTTAATCTCAGAGAAGGTGGAGAAAAATAAAACAGCAACACAGTTGTGAGTGGAGGAAAACAAGCTCTATGGGGTGAAACTTGTGGCAAGCAAGCGCCGGGACCGGGAAGATTTATGGGCCCCAGGCAGAATATGATGGGTCTGCGTGGACAGGACAGGACGGAGGGTGAAGATTAATGAACATGCCAGCTGCTGGCCCGTGTAAGAATAATCTATCACTCTCCATTACTGTCAAACATTAACACTCTTACACTGCATCACAAGTCAGTGCGTTACTTGATGAGATTAAGCATGCTTAAATCAAAATCCTATACTGGCTTAAAGGGACGCCCACGTTGCACAAGGCCCGGGATGCAGCTCCTTGCTGAGGGGGAATCCTCAGACAATGAGGAGCCTTTTACATGGAGGTTATTAATCATCATGTCTTGCCTTGGGGGGAGAAGTAGAGTGGTGAGGAGTCAGTCGTTGTCGCCGAGGAAGAAGCAGCAGCAGCAGCAGTCTGGTTTCTCTTGATGCTTTTCTTCTCCTTCATCCACGGGTACTCCGGGGGTAGGGATGCAGCCTGCAGCGGGCTGCAGCCTCTCAGAGCCTGCTTTGAGCGGCTGTGGCGTGGGTGGATGCCCGGGTTCAGGCCGGGGATGGTCTGCTCAAAAGGAGGAGGAATCAGTGTCGACTGTGAAAGCGCCGAGCTCTTGATTGATGAACTTTGAAATGCATCACCGACAGGGTTAGTGAGAGATGTCAGGCACTCAGCGAGCGACGGCTGGCTGTTGATAAAACCACTTTCTCGCCCAAATTCGTAATTCATCTCCTCCCGCTTGTCTCGAAAACTCGCTGATTTTTTTTAAAGTGAATTCAGATTAATACGCACTTTATTGTCATAAACTACTAAACTGGATATAGTCGTATGGAGACCTCTATGCCATAAACTATTGCTTTCATGAGGACATGGTTGGAATTAGACCGTGCTGCTTGTCACATGATTGCATCTGCCCAATGACAATTTGGGGTTTTTATCAAAAGAAGCCACTGTCCCCTGTGATTGATCGAGAAAGTCGGAGGGGTAACGCCTCGTTTCGGGGGTAGGGGTTGCTTTATTTACACATTTTTTTGGGGTCAGTTTGTTCACCACTGCCTGCCCCCCCTCAAACACACACACTCCCCCCGTGCCTTCTTTGCGCGTTCACGCAGTCTGCCCTACGATTACGCGCGTGTGGGTCGCGGCGCGCGCGCGCGTGTGTGCATTTATTTGTAGCGTGGCACCCCACAAATCATTTCAACAGTCACATTTGTGTCTCGTAATGCGGCGACGCCCACAGTCGTTATCAGTGCCAAGGCGTTAATCTTGAGACTTTGTTGAAGTTTTTTTTTGGAGAGGAAAAGCTGCACCAGACATCCGACAGCATGTCCACCCCTCCCCCAACACACACACACACACACACACACACACACACACACACACACACAGAGGGAGAGAGAGAGAGAAGGAGAGAGATGATTTTTTTTATTAGATTTCATGTGATTTTGAGTTCATCCCATTCTGGCGCATTTGGATCTGTAGTTAGTCTGCCTAATAATACATTGTGTTATTACAGGTAACTTTATCATTGAAGTCTTTGCAATATATTCCCTGAAAAGAAGTATAAATGGATGAAAGCAGTTTTGGATACTTAACGATCATTTGTCTCTATTTTACAGTTTATAGTTCCCTGCCCCACATCCCATTTCATTTATTTTATTTCACCTATAGGGATAATGTTGACCTAAGCCATCATCCTTACACCTCAGCATTATTGGTTATAACATAGCGGAGAGCAGAAATGATTTGCCACTGTAGTGTGAGGCAGAGGAAAGGTGGGGATCTGATGGCTGTTTATTGCTCAGGCTCTAAACAAAGAGCCCTGGTAGCCTGCGTGTGATCAATCTTTCTCGCCAAAAGGTCTGACAGCTCCCAGCCCTAAGAACACATTTAAACCATCTAACACTCCCTTAGATCATATATGGCCAGGAAGAGGACAGCCACTCTCTAGGTGAGCTGTAGGAGAAGTTTTCAATTTAGAAATGTAGGGATTTCTTATAGAGGCGCGGATGAGATGCACGGCCATTACGCACAAATCTTTTCTTTTTTTGCTCACTCGCTCGATAATGAATCAAAAATCCATCTAAAGGCGAAACTGTCGCTTTTTCGTTTCTAAAAGGGACTTTACAGACACAAAGAAAACGCAGAGGAGAGGAGAGGACTTGGTTAGTGGTATAGAAACGAACGGAGCAGCTTTTACATAGGATCAATTGTTTGCTGAGGTGAGTGGGTGTTGGCATTCAGCAGAAATCCCATTAAGTCTCATACCTTTGTTTTTCTCTGGCCTGTTCGGTTTCTAGAATAATTCTGTTTTTTGTTATAATTGTTTGAAATGTTTAATTTTACTTCATATAACTGTGTATTTTGACTTATTTTTATTTGTAAGGATGTACTGTGATAATAATACAGATCCTGTGAACGAATGATATCCGAATAGTCTGTAATATTAGACTATAACTGAAAAACAATTGGCTTAATCATTTTAATTTCCTTATATCTTATTATTAATTGCTACTAATTTAACCGAATTCCATGTGTGCTAATTGTTATGCGTTTATGGTTATTCCTGCAAAGTATTATCTAAACTAACCACATTAATTTACTGTTTATTCTTGTTAGAATATGTAGAAAATTATCTTTTATATAGAAATATATTGTATAAATATAACCTGGACAGAGTATAGATTTAAATCGAGGTGTAAAAACAGAAAAATGACACAAGGAGAACAAGAGCCTTCTGAAAAATAAATAAATAAACCTCAGTATTTATCAGAACCTGAACACTTCCTGACGCTTATTGGAGATTTTATATTGCAGATGAATTTTGATTTTTGTCTTCTTTTTCGGAGCTGTGCAGACATAAAGCCGCATTTTGCAACTTGCTGCAGGGATGCAGACAGAGGACGGTGTCTGGAGGAGCTGTGAGGAGGAGCTGCGCGTTTCCCGTCTGTTCTGAGACAACAAGAGACATCTGGGGAGCAAGCAGGCCAAACCTGCCACCACTGTTGTTTTCTTAAAAAAAAAAAAAAATTCAATCAGCTCTTACAGCCTAAACTGTGCTGTGGAATTATCTCCATTTGTAGTGAGTGTGACTCAAATGTTTAACCAGACTTTAAAATAAATAATTGCACAATTACCACATGTGCATCTGTTTTATTTTTTAGTGTGTGATGGCAAATATTGTTTTGCAATTACACGACTACACGACTGTTGTAATTATAATATATTTATTACACACTCTGCACAAGAGACGTTATGTAATATTTGGAATTATATTTAATAAAAAAGACTAAAAGTGTTTATTGCATATTATATCCGTCATTAACGCTGCGTAATATCACATATCACACTATATTCTGACTGTGAGGGGGAAACTGGGGGGAAAAAAATACAGCAGCACATTCAAGCTGCACACAGTCCTTCTGGAAAACACATTTAACGTCGAGTCGTGTGTGTGTGTGTGTGTGTGTGTGTGTGTGTGTGTGTGTCCTGGAAACAAAGCAGTGTTCACGACAGGATTTTCACATTATACGTTTATTTATTGAGCTCCCTGGATTCATGAGAAGATTTGACAGATACTTCAGGCGCGTTAAAGGGCCGCAAATCAAAGTGTTTTGCACGTCGACATGTGCAGATATATCCTGATAAAAACACAGATACGGTCATTCTGGGTGCTTTCTTTTCCCAATGCCTCTCAGGAAATCAAAGAAGACAAAATAATGAAACATGTGGGATCATAACAAAGGAATATAAAAGATACCCACCCACGTAAGAGACGAGCAGCCTGTCTGTCACATCTCTGCCTCTGTGATTCAAGTTGCTCAGTTGCCCTGTAGGAAGGCAAAAATTGATAGGAACATTGTTTAAGGAAGGATTTAAAACAGATAGATATTTTTAAACTGATGTGAGGTTGACAAAAATAATAATAATGCAGGAAAATGTATTAGGGAGTGTAATACGTTGATAGAAAAAACAAACTCCAATCTAAAAGAGTCTGTTTCCTTTGAAAACTACATTCATTTTCAAAATTCATACATGTTGTTCCAATGATCTAATACAGTTCAAAAAAATGAGTAAACATGAACAACTTTCTCCCCAAATCCCAAAACTAACTGGAGTGTTAATACTCCAATCTGTGATGTCATCAACAAAGTCTGGAGCTGCTCCATAGACAATGAACTGGTAAAGATAGATGACACTGAGAGCAGCCAGAGGAATGTTCTGACTATGAGGGTACATTTTCCGTTTCAGAGCTGAGAACACTACAATACAATAAAGATTATTTGGGTATGAAAAAGAAAATAAACATTTTGTGGGTCCACAAAATCAGCCTCCCATTCATTGCCAACGGAGCAGCTCCAGTCTTTATACTTGATGACATCACACATTTGAGACTTCTCTGGTTTCTAGCTTTGAGGGAGAGTAGCTTGTGTTCACAACTTAGATACACTTTCCCAGGCCGTGGGAATAACATATAGGAATTCCTAATTTAGGTGGTGTTCCCCTTTAATCTGAGGAGTAATCCCACTATCCACAACAACAGACTATAGCAGCAGTGAGGCTAAGTGGATGAAACAGGCTCTCCCATGTGCTCATGACTTTACTCCCCTGAACTTCTCCTCCAGAGTTCACTCGTGGCCTCCTCTGTCACCAGCGGTGTCATGAGGTTTGATGTATAGGGGTCCTGAGAGGTCACTGCAAATGGCATCCAAGCAACTTTCTGTTTTCCTGCAGCGCAGCTTCTCCACTGGTCTTAGCTATCCATCCAAACATTCATGTGGGATCAGACAGGAATGCCACCTACGCACAACACTATACTCAAGAGACATCACTGACAGATTAGTAGTGTAATAGATATAGTAGCCTATATAAAGTAATGTCACTATTTCAGCATGCTTATCTTTACAGTTTTCCCCGAAAATGTATAACAGGCTTAATGAGCTGCATGTGGGTGACCTTTAGGGGTGAGTGAGGCAGGGAAAGGGTGAGGTTTAGGGGGGGGGTGCTGAAGGAAACCAGGAAGGGAGGGAAGGTTTGGGGTATCTCACACTTTTTAGGACCTCAAGTTCATCGCTCAGTTGGAGTCCAGTGAGGTCCTGTGCAGCTCCTGGAAAAAAGGGAAGTGATGACATGACTCTGGAAACTTGTGTGTGTGTGTGTGTGTGTGTGTGTTTGTCATCATGTCACCTCAGCCATGATCAACACAGCTCAAATTATCTGTAGGTCCTTATATATATTTAAGTGTTCACAATGTATTGACTCCATAGATATAAAATAAGGTTTGCCTTTTTAAATCAATTTAATCTGTGATTCTTGAGTGTTTAGTGTAACATTCATTTCATAGCTTCTTCTAAGCCATTCAAAAGCATAACATAGCCATTTGATAAACAGTTACACTAAAATAAAACGTAAAGTACGTTAAGTACAGATTTTAAAGAGCAGTTTATGTCATAATATAGCACCAGGAAATGAAACACAACACGCTGCAGGGTTAGATGTTTTGAAAGCGACACACTGCAGGTCTGAATGGAGTGGGGAGTGGTCTTGGTGTGCCCTGAACGCATCATCCAGTTTGAACATTGTTCTTCAGATGAGCCGCTGCCTCCACCTGCTGGCGGTCAGAGCACAGCAGCACCGCTACGTCCTTTATTTCCACAACCTATGAGCAACACTCAGATCAGCACTGAGCTCTGACACCATCATCAGGACACAGTGTTTGTCCCACTTTAAGTTTTTGGTGTTTTTGTTTGTTTGTATTTTTTAAACATAATTGGTGTAATTTTCTCCTTGTTCATCTGATAAAGTGATGCATGTTGTGTAATTTAATTTGGAAACTGTTTCAGTGTGTGGAGCATGTTGTTGTGTGAGTGTGTCTGTTGTCCTGACAGCTCTGTTGCTGCACAAAACAACAAACGGGTGCTTCTGCACTGAGACAGACTAATTGTTGGTAGACGGTTGTAAAGTAATTAGACGTTTTAGGACAGACCCATCTGCAGCCCTGCCATTCCCTGTGTGTGTGTGTGTGTGTGTGTGTGTGTGTGTGTGTGTTATCCCAGTGCTTCAGACCCATCTTGAAAACAATATCACATATCTGACTGTTTGCCCGAGCCTCATTAGAAATGCTGCTTTACTGCTGTCACTGAGCCTCTACATGCTTTGCTGTTTTCGCACCTTATAAACAGTCCAGGCTGTGGTTTACTACAGAGGGGCATCTAGTCTAGTTTGTGGGTTTGTGGGGCGTCCAAAGGCCGAGAATGTCCTGAAAAGTAATGCATATACATACATGCTGCGGTCCAGACAACAATATTGTGCAAAATAACCTAACATTCTTTTGTGACTTTGTATTTGAAATTGTTGCATCATTGTGTTGATGGTTTGCTTCCTCAAGATACTCAATACAGCTGATTTAATCTCTGTGAAACTTTTTTTATCTTTTCAGATTTAAAGTCCAAGAATATCCAAAAATATTTGTCTAATTTCCATCCATATACTTTATATTTATGTCTACAGTATGCCTCGACTCTATAAAAAATAAAAAAGTTATTGGCCATGTTACAATCAAATAAAGATTCCGCTCACATTTTTACAATATTATTGTAATATATAAATATTATTGTTAGAAAAGCAGCTTCATGCCAGTGAGGTTGGAAGCAAAGCCTTTTTGAGAGGAGAAAAAATATCTGTTCAGGCCTGGGAAGTTTTTCTGTGGTTTATTTGGGCTGTTTGCGCCATAAAGCTTGGCGGTTACAAGCAAGAGAGAACGTAGTAATAGTGTGTTTTTACTGAAATAAAAACAAAGTTTTCAGTTTAGTCATTTGTAATGAAAAAAGTTGAAATATGAATATTTTTTGTCGAAATAGTTTTGAAATTTTGAAGGTTAAAAGAGCAGTGAATTGTGGAGGGAACATGCTAATAGTAGTTCTCAATGTAAAGTGTGTATTTTGCTAAAAATATGTGTTTTAATATTAAGCAAAAATGATAACAAACAAATAAGCCATATAATGTTCTTATGTGCTAAACACACTACTCTTTATTTTGGATGAAACCAGGAACGACGAGGTATTCGAAGTGTGCACAGTGTTTTCACAAATGGATCAAAAACCTAAAAGGTTAAAAAACATCTAAATTGCAAAAACTAAAATAACTTAATGCAAATAGGTAGCAGAAAGACATTCAGGTAGTCAAGGATCAATTCATGCAAATAACAAATGGCCTATAGTTAATAACTATTCCTGTGCGCCAAGTACAAGACATCTACACTCTGACGAGACACTGTGTCCTCTCACAAACATGAAACACTGGATCTCACAGAGGAGAGAGAGAAAAAAACATCCAGCATAGTTTTTAACAACACAAACTTTACAACAACATGTGTAACAGGTCAGGAATATTAAAGACAGACCCCCCCCTCCCTTCTTCTTCCTCCCCCTCTTCCTCCTCCTCCTCCTCCTCCTCCTCCTCCTCCTTCTAATCCACCATCAGTCCAATACCAGTTAACTGTCTCTCCGCCGGTCTTTGTTTTCTTTCTTCATCTTCATCCTGCGGTTCTGAAACCAGATTTTCACCTGTCTCTCGGTCAAACTCAGGACTCTCGCTACTTCGTATCTACGATCCCGGGGGAGGTACATGTTAAAGAGAAATTCCTTTTCCAGTTCGAGGATTTGGTGCTTTGTATATGGACAACGCTTTTTTCTGGTGGGCTTTGCGTGAAGCCAGTTGGACGATGGGTTATCTGGAAACAGGAGGGGGGGTCAAAACCATGAGACAGGAGAGTTAATCCTCTCAGAATAAGACTCAGAAACAAGAGTGGTGTATTGAATTTGCAGTTTGGGGATGGATATGCTTCTCCTGGCAGGATTAGGAATTATTTTGGTTTATTTTCACTGCATGAGGATTCGAGGATTGAGGATAGCAAATGCCTCACCAAATTCCTTTGATTTTTTTGTGTGTAATTATACAGTAAATTGTGTCAGTCACACTTAGGAATATGCATCCTATTTTATCAGAAGGTCATGTCACTTATAGCCATAAGGTTATTGTATCTCTTTGAGCTTAAACACTATTTAATATATAAATGTTGTACCCATTTTTGTACTAAACCAAACATGTGACATCCAAAACAATTCCTTCACATCCTCAAGCAATTAATGCCACTTTTTAGTCATCCAAATCATGCCATAAAGTGACCAAAATAAAATAAAACCACTGCATCACTCACTTGCATCTATCTCCCTCTTGTCCTCTGCTGACGGGCTCTCCTCAGTAGCTTTAGACGCGGATGTGGTTTCTCAGGGAATCTCCGCAAGGGATGCTCCGTTTTCAATGTCAGACAAAAGAGGTGTGTGCGTCTCCAAAGTTGTGCATTCAGCACTCCCAATCAGGGGCTCGGGTTTGATCTCATAATGCATGGCTGTCGATGGTAATCCCGTCAAACACAGAGACGCAGACACCGGATCCAACGCCCAGGAGCGCGTAAACATGCCATCGCTGTCCCCGCTCGTGTAATGGTGATGTATATAGGTCGGAGCGGCTGTGTTCGGAGGGTGAGCCGAGATGGGACTCCACGATCCACCAAAAATAGAAGATTTCGCCTGCAAAGGGCAAGATTCCTGTCCGCCATATTCGGTGAGCATCGCCTGCTCCACCCCTGCAGTTGACGGGTATCTAGGTGCCATATCTTCCTGCTCGGGAAGAACAGGCGGCTCAACATAGTAACTCGCTCCTAACGTCGACATTATGAAAATGCAAAAGGAAAAAAAACGCGCTAGAGTGTTGCAATGTTTAGAAAAAACAGATTCATTGCATATAATGTGCTGCTTTCCTGCACCAGCTAGGGGCTCAATGCGTCCAGCAAGTTGAACCTTGCCCAAGACTGGATAGGGCGCCCCAAACACGTGACCGTGGGACAGAACAATAAATAATAAATCAGCCTGCTGCTCAACTAAATGGCCACCATTTTCCCCACCATATTTTAATAGCAAGTCCCTGCGCCTTTATTGGGGAATATTTCGTTTTATAAGCAATAAACGTTATGATTTTTGTGAAGAGATCTCATGTTGGTGTAATCGGATATAGTTGTGATAAAAAGGAGCAGGGGTGTTACTTTAAAGCCACTATTTGTGAAATCACCTAACAACTTTCCCTCACATAGTTTTACCTAACAGGATTATTTATTCTCCAAAATATAAAACTGATAGTAATTTAATGACCTCCATCTGTAAGCCTCACACTTTGGGAATGTATTTCTGCTTCTTGTTAGTGGCTTTTATTTAAAACATTTTTCAAGACTTTTAAAATGAAATAGTCCAAGTTATTTTTTAAAGCATTACTGGAGTTTACAATATCAAAACATATTAAGGGACATTTTCTAATATGCGCACTGCTGTGTCTGCAGGGTTGTGCAGACACAGCTTTGAAGGCAATCTAAAACGGAAAGTGGGGTGAGGTTATTTGGGTGCTATATAACAGTCATTTTTATCACGGGCAATTGGGTTGTTTTTCTTAAGGTTACAACCTGGCTGTCTAAGCTAAATATCACCAATAAAGCTCAGCCTTTGTGTCCTTTCTCTGGCGCAAGCAGACGCATCCGGCATTTCCTACGGCGAGGCAACTGGCAGACTGCAATGATCATAACCGAGGCCTTGTCTGTCCTTTACTCCTCTCTTGGACACATACAAGCCCTAATCCTTTCATTTTCAAGCTTGAGTCTTTACTTCCGGCTGTTTGGATCACACAGAGACGCTTTAAAATCCTCTGCAGAGATTACAGACATGGTGAAAACTTTGTATCTCTTGGATTAAATGTAACCAGACATAACAGAATGCAGCGTAATCATAAAAACCTACAAGACAAAAAAGAAGAAAAAAATCATTTTAAAAGTTGCTTTTACGCACAACAATAAAACACTTTATTGCACTTTTTGGAATAATAATGTGTTATGTGTCTGACGCAGTCTGCGCCAAATTATTAATAAATTCGACCAGTAATTAATAGTGATTCACTTTTCATGATGCGACGAGTTTTACTGAGGTAATCAAGGCAGTTTCGTGTTGTGGGAGAAATATAATAGCCCAACAACATGAGACTACCTAAACCACTCAACAGCACGCTCTCCTCTTCGGGGATATCTGTTACAGTGTGATTTTAGTGTTTGCAGGGTGAAGAAATTATGTACTTTTCAGTATAAAAGGTGTAACAGAATTTAAGAAAACTGTAAAAGCGCAGAAAATAATATTTTAATCATGATCTGATGTGTGCGGCAATTCCCAAATTGTTTTGGACAGGACAGGCAGTCCAGATGCGTCGCTACCTTTACCTTAAAATTAGACATTTTACCATTTTAAAAATAGTGTTTGTCTTGGTTTCTGCAAAAAGAACCCACTTTTTCCACGATTTAAAATATTTCTAAAATAATAATAATGTTAAAAAACACTGTTCCTCTACTCGGTGTGTGGTTTACATTTAAGTCTGATGTCAAGGACAAAAAGCAACGAAGTGTGCACAGCCGCCAGACATCTATTACAGGCCTAAACTATGAAGAACATCGCCCTCCACTACTGTAATAATATTTACTGTGCACAGAGCGGACCCTGTCCAAAACACAAAGGCATTAGCACCATGCACTGTACCTGTGCCAACTTTAAGATTTAAACAGCGCGCAGCTTCTAGTCTGTCCTGCTGAATGAAATAAGAAGTCTGCAGTTGCAGGGATGGTTTTATTAATTTGACCAGCAAAATGTGCAAATATTTATCAGACCTCTTGGGCTCCTTAGCTGTCACATAAAGGTCTACATGTAACTGTAACACAAGTATCCCAAGGGTTGGTCCAGCATGCAAATTCCAATGGTTCACTCAGGTTGACTATACAATATGTACAAGCCTGAAGCTCTGAAACATTGTGGTCACATTCTGAACAGTTTCAACACAACTTTACAAATGTAGCCATTTATAAATACATATCCACGACAAAAAAATAAAACAGACGTGAAAATTAGAAAGAACAACAATCAATAAGTTAGCAGTAGGGTCCTATTTTCCATGGACATTCTCACAGTTGGGTTGGGAGGCTCTGCACAGGCGCCCTTGCCATGGATGGAGGAGGGCGCCAAAGACGCAGACAGTCTCAAGAGAAACTGAAGTTGCTGGAGAGCTCTCGGATCCTATTCTCCCGGCTCATTTTTTTCAGTTTCATCCTCCTGTTTTGGAACCAGATTTTGACTTGCCTGTCAGTGAGGTGCACACTGCGGCTGATCTCCAGACGACGCTCCCTAGTCAAGTACATGTTGAAGAGAAACTCCTTCTCCAGCTCCAGAGTCTGGTGCTTGGTGTAGGGGCAGCGCTTCTTTCGGCCACTCTTAGCTGTGAGCCAGTTGGCCGTGCTTTCCATTTTTCCATCCCCTGTGATGAAAATGAAACATTATATTAGGCAACAGGTGTGACAGAAAAACAGCACCACACCAGACGGGAATCTGTTTAGAAATTATGAGCGTAAAAATTCAAAATCCAAAATAAAGAAAAACCTGACATGCCAAATTAATAAAGGTGTGTTTTTACTCTACAAGATTTGGTATTTAAATTCTACTGTTTCTGACATCTGACACCTACTACACAGCCACACAGGATATAAATACCCGTATAATGACTGATTTTTGTGTTCTCTTTTATTTTTACTACCATTTTACGCACAGCTACACATCTATGTGGATAACGCATACAGCTGCAATTCAGCAATTTACCAGAAACTGCTATTTGCCCCGTTAAGCAGCCTGTGGCCAACTGCACCTTTATTAAGACATAAAACCTAGTCTGCACAGTCTGCTGATATTACAGCAGGGCCTGTGCCTTTGAAGAGCGGGCAACTGACACCAGAATCCTGCACTAGACAAATGGACACTGGATCCTCCTTCGCTGTTGCTTTAAATAAAACACTAATGAAATCCTGATAATATTATAAAACACAAGAACAATTGATGTGCTTTTTAATCATCAAATGGTCACACGGTTGCATGTTAAAATAAATCCACGAGGCCTGTTTGAATAGCATTGTAATGTCGCACAACTACAGCAGCGTATTTGGGATCTAAAAGCAGCTAATAAAACACAATAGCTCTGCTCCTCGGCGCTGATTGGTGAAGTTACGTTCAATTTTACCTCATGCCCGATAAACCGGTAAATACCCGTTAAATGCACACCTGTGAGTGGCTGACTGTTGACCTAAATAACAATGCACGACTATCAGCATTCATGCATTCATCTGTGGTTAGAAATAATTGGGTAAAAAAACAATGGAAGTCTAAGAATTATACGCGCATGCCCCTTTATGTCGCCTGTTATCTCTGCAGCACAATCTCTACAATCGACTCTTCACCTTTGACGGGCTTTTCTGGACACTCCGCGCTGCAAGTCTCAGCGGGTTCAGGGGAAGAAGAGCTTTCTGAGGAGAGGCGGCTGTCCTCCTCTCCGGCCGGGGCGCAGGGCGCAGGGACAGGCGCCTCCTCGTGGCTCTCCCTGCGCTCCGGCTCAGCAGAGGCAGTCTGAGGCTGAGAGGACTGGCTGTCCACGCGGGTAGGACGTTGCAGAGTAAATTGATTCATGTTTGGCTGGACATCATGGTAAAGCCTGGAGGACGCATATGTCTGAGACAGGCGGAAGTAGCCGGGGACTGGCAAAGATGTGCCGGTAACCGGGCATGATGCAGACGAGTAGGAAATGTCATCTACTGTTGCTCCTTTAGGGCATTTGTCAGACTCATAAAGGCAGTAGGCGCTCTCCTCTTTTATATTCGGTGAGAATGAACACTGAGCCATATGCTGGCCGCTGGGCTGATCCACCCGGCAGGATCTCGACGTTTCCAGCCACGTTTCCATCCCCTGAACATACGGAGCAGAAGACGGGATCACGCTTTGGGTGCTTGGCTCGTTGCGCTTACCGATCCCCGGGAAACAAGAGCCACCGGAGAGTCCATATGAATATTCCGACGCCGGTGGCAAATACACCCCGTTACTCTGGTAATATGAACCGCTGTCGGTTCTCACGTTGATTAAGGAGTCCACGAAAAACGAATTTCCAGCTTGGTTGTTGGGGCATGTCATCGTTGTGGTATAATTTGACGGAGGATGAAGATAGCCCTTTCTGGCTGACATTTCTTGTGCAAAACATTGCTGAATAATTACTGATACTCACGCTTCTCACTGTAGCCTGCAGCCAATTAAAACACCAGGCGACTACAGACTCCTCCCAGTCCGAGCAGGCAGCTCCACTGTGTCGTATATTTTGTTTTAGGCTAAGTAAAGAGAAAACTGTGGGGGGAAAGTGGTGCATCAGATGGGTTTAGGTAAATTCTTTAAATCTCAGCTGAATCTCACATCCTGAGCCTGGATCCTGTAAGCCCAGGGCTGCCTGTGTGAACTTAACAACAACAACCCCTATTTGACAACTCGGTTGCTGAAAGCTGTCCCTAACAATTATGTACAATGCATAGCTTTATGGCCACTTTTACAGCACTGTAAAAATGAAGGGTGCCTCTGAGAAGCACAGGGTGCATCACAGATCCAAAAAGGTCCTGTGTGACTCTTTGGTCGAGGGACTCTTAACCCTTGTTGTGCTGCTCTCGTGACTATTATTGGACTGTTTTTAAAATTCCTCATGGGCTGTCCAAAAACAGTGCAAACAGTCTTTCATGTCACCACATTGCTGGTCAGACCAGTGCAAAGTCACTTCCTTTAGAGACCCTGGAGCTTATCTGACTGTGGTGTGAATATTGTGGGTGCAATAGCCATGATTGCGTCCAGACACCTTTTACTGCAAAGGCTCTGCTGAGCATTTAGAAAGGTGACATGCAGGCACACTGAAGTAAGCGCCACAGCTGAACAATGCCCTGGAGCTACATTTTCCTTAATGATCACTTAATATTGGCAAGACTGCAAGAAATGTAGGTCGTTACTGCTTGGATGACATTAGAACTTATTAATCTTGCTATTATCTCCTTACAGAGGCACTGGGAGTTTGTGCATGTCTCCACGTATTTACCTACTATCTATTAAGAAACACGCAAACACCTATTCCAAGGCCTACATACACATAACCACTATTTGTCTAAATTCAGTTTAAGATTAATTTCAAATCAACACCTAATATCAAATTCACGCACATAGAAAATGCTCATTGCGCCCTTTACACTTGTTTTTATTTTATTTATTTTTATTTGTCCTTTTTACGAGATGTTTAAGGCCAACGCATCTGAGCTGTAGGTAATGGCGAAAATACCAACAATAATTGTAATAATAGTCTAAAAACTGGCAACCATAAAGCAAAAAATAAATGAAAAATACATGCATAGCATGCAAAACACGAACATACTTCTATAACTTAAGGAGGCCTGATGTCATATGATAGACATTTTATCCTAATTTAAAATACACAAGACAATTTTGTAAAACAAGTCCGTCGTGTAACTGAATAAAAATAAATGCTAGTCTTCATAATATAAAGCAAGCAACTACGACACATAAATTATTAGCCTGGGCTGCTGCAATATTATTTTTTTTAAAGTCAGAAATACATTGACCGATGCCTCCTTCCTTAAAAGACAATAGTCAGGATTTTATAACGCAGGCCTATAGATTTAGATCAGCCTAAAGATGGCTCCAGAGGTGGGTGAAATACAACATCGGCTACCTCCATTTTCCTTTAAGTCTGGAGCCATAAAGTCTAGAAATCACAGATACAGTTTATGTACAGCCATTTTATATGGCGTCAAACCTGCAGCATGTCTGGCTGCAATGAATGATAATAATCATTAACCCTACTGGATTATTTCCTGTGATGTTTCAATGTGCGCCGTGGGTGAGCTGCCCTTATATTATTATTGCCATAAAACTTTTTTTTATTCATTTATTTAATTTTGTTTTTTAAAAAAATGTTAGAAAATTAATGAAAATCCCACAATGACTGTTGTGCGTCAAAATGTCTCTAACGGTGTCTATACGCGCACAATGACGCACACAAGTTACAACAAAACTGCATTTTAAGATCAAACTAAACAAATGGTGTGTGGGATAATCTGAGTTTTGTCATTTTCACAAGTTTACGTTGCTCACATAACGACTAAACAATATAAATCTATGGGTTAAGATGTATAAAATGAAGTATAAATTACGTGTTAAATTGTGTGGGGATTCTAAAAGTCAGTGAGCCACACAGTGTTTGTAATATAGGCCCTAGTGATCTTATTTCTTTGTGCGCATTAGTCACTCCAGGCCTATAAATTCTGCAAAACTGCAACCTGAGAACCTACATTAAATTTGATGCTCACAGAGAAACAAACTGGCACAACTTACTTCTGGTAATTTTGCCAGTAGTATTTGCATTACATCATAACATCTGTACCTTAAATGGAAAACAGCGTCTTGAGTTTTCAGTTGGAGATGAAATGGGATAAACTAGAAAAATAGATCTCCTTCCTTAAATGACATGAAGAAACCCCTGGTAGCCATAAAACGCACATGACAATATTTCTGTTCCTACCTTAACATTGAAATCCTGATGTGGTGACATATTTTAAAGCAGCTGAGCGGCGAGTCAAACTTCTTTTATATCTCAATTCACGGCAATGACATTGATCGGAGGAGCGCCACCCAGTGGACAGAGGACAGCAGGGCCTACAGTGCAACGCGACACAAACGCAGAATATTCCTACCGCGGTAAGATGCTGAAACAAATGACGCCGGAAAGGTCCGTGAACACAAGCTTTCAATGCTCCCAGCCGTTGTTTTTCAGCCCCTTAGTCACAGTTAATAACCTTGGTCTCAGACGCTTTATTGCACTACACTCCAAATGCTCCAGACGAATCCGCGTTTTATGGCCAAGTTACTGGAGCAACTGGGAGGATGTGCAGCAATCAAAGCGGAATTCCTGGGAGCCTCACAGGATGCACGGTATAAGGAAGGCATCAGGGCCCTTATTAGCTTATGGCAGGCCATTCAAGTTGTTTTCAACTGGGCCTGCTGGTGGATACAAAGCCACCTGAAGCCAAAGTTTACCCATCTTTTTGTGCGCACGGGCTTCTTTTGACCTTCATTTGCAGGTTAACATAAATCCTCATAGTCTCAGTTCATATTTAGCATCATACTGATGTGAGGTATTTGGATTAAACCACTCCAGATGATAAATACATGCCCATATATGATTGAGTTATCTAGAGTCCGCCCCTTTATTTACTCCAGTGTCACTGCCTGATGGGTCAGCTGACTTTGAGTGGATGAAATGAAGTCTTTGAGAAACTTTGCGAACAAAGTCACGAACATAGATACGTACATAACTTTTGGAAGGAGGCGGCCTGTTATATCTACAGGCATTCAAACAAGTGTCAAGATCGTTTCAGTGGGCCTAACATGCATGTTAGGTCACATCTCAGCCTCTCCTCATCGACAACAGCAAAATGAATGAACCCTTTGTAATGGATATCAAACAATAGCTGCAGCGGATCTCATTTCCAGCCATGAGGGAATTAAAAAAGCATCAGACCTACATATCATGCATCTGATACGATCCACGTGCTGGCATATAAAATAAACTATGGGATTTTGTTTCATTTGGGGAGTTTGCTCTTTTATCAGTGGTTTGATTTTTGGATGAAGTTCGGGAATAATCCAACTTTACGGCCAAGAGCTCAACTAGGCGCCTGCACTGAGGGTCAAGCGCAGATGTCAAAAATCTCTAAATATCAGACTTAAAATGCATGAAATGGATGAACTGATATCAGATCATATTTTGACAAATTCTTTAACTATGCAGCATTGAACGGTTTTTTTTTTGGGGGGGGGGGGGGGGGGGCAGCAGATCGCCGCCAACAGTGTCAGGTGTGGTCTGTCTTATAGTGTAGTAATAGTAATTCCAAAACACACAAAACAGATTTACAGACACCGGAGTTGTATTTGTACAATAAAGTTAAAATGTTTAAGAGAAAGAATGAAAGACGAACAGTAGTTTGATTTCAAGATTTCTGTCCACAAAAGTTGCGTGTGCGTGCGTAAATTTGAACAAAAAAAAAAATATTCTTAAGAATTTAAGGAAAAATTAATATATATATATATATATTTTTAAAAATTGCATTACAGTAATCTCCGTGTGTATTATTAAATTATACAAAAGGAATTCAGACACATTTGGCTTCCCGCGTGAGCGAACCATACACGCAACCACGTCACTTTAAAATTTGGAAAATTGTTGATTGGTCGGGCAGACAGAATAACAGGTCTATATAATAATAATAATAATAATAATAATAGTAATAATGATAATAATAATAATGATAATAGAGCCAACGGTGTTTAATGACAAAATAGTGTATAAATATTAGAATTCTTTATGAAGTCTGACACATTAAAAAACTCGTCATCCCGTCCAGGTAACGTGTGTAGTCTTGATGAGTGGGGTGAGTGGCTGCATGTCAGTGAGTCTTTGTTCAGTGTTTATAGCAGGGGGTTTGTGGTGTAGTACTGTAAACGGTCTCTGTTCAGTTTCTTCTCCTTCATCCTCCTGTTCTGAAACCAGATTTTGACCTGGCGGTCTGTGAGATTGAGCATCCGTGAGAGCTGCATGCGCTTCTCCTTGTTGATGTAAACGCTGAAAAAGAATTCCCTCTCCAGTTCCCTGATCTGATACTTTGAATATGGACATCTCTTCTTGCGCGTCCTCTGGCCACCTGAAAGATAAATACATACAAAAAGAAGGCATGGGTCACCACATTAGATATTATAGAGACATTGCAGCAACATGAAATAGTGAGTCTATTTCCTGCTCCGAAGCTGCGGTGGTGATCTATGAGCTTTGGAGTTCAAGTGTCGCCCTCCTCTCAGGCCTACAGGACCCAGATTTGTAAACAAAGACTGGACTTGATAGTGGGACATGTAAGTTGGGCATGAAGGGACTGCATGTCGGAAGTTGTGAAAACTTATTGAAATCTGTAAAAACCATACCGGCTGCTTTTTAAGAGTGGGGGCGTGAGCCTATAAAGCAAACAGTTATGAGTATCATGTATATGTGATATGCTTGTATTGTCCGCTTTTGATTTCACCGTGCGTAAAGAGCTGTTGTTTTAGCGCCAGGGAGAGCAAATTCCATGAAAACCAGTTGTTGAGTTTAATCCCCGAATATGCTGTGAATTTGTAAATATTTATCTTTGAATAAGACGCAGGGTTTAAACCTAAATCTGCGCCAAAGTCGCATTAAAATGCCTCAGCAACTCTCCTCAGTCGAGCCAGAATAAAACAAATAATAAATCAAAAAGTGCGCATGTTAAAAGAAATATGACGCCCAAGTTACTTGTAATAACAAGAACGCAAATATGAGAGACACAGGCTAGGATGTATTTACAATATTTAGATTTCACTTATATTTGAAAATATCATGTGTCATATAAATGAAGTTCACAGGCTGACTACAAGGATATTTACGCGCACATGTGCAGGGAAAAAAAGTGAAGATCTTGTTTGAAATCTTGGAAGACAAGCTTAACGCCAAAGTCTTCACGGCCAATTTCAATCCCAAGCACGTGATCTTGTCGTTTATAACATAGTTTTGTTATAGGGTAAATCTGCAGGCCCTCCATAAACCTTACGTGCTTATAAAACAGCATATAAAAAGCTTTAAGAGCAACGCGTTAGATTTTTCTCCTTCTTGCATTCAGTGGGGCTACTCACTGCTGCTTTTGCTCTGTTTCTCCTCGCTGTGGCCGGAGGACGACTTGGGGCTGCAGCTCTCCGCCGTGTCCGAGCCCGGGTGAGCCGGAGCGGGGCTTGTTTTGGTTGCGTGTCTGTCTGCGTCTGCCGCTTGTGCTGTCGGCGTTGTGCTGCTCTCTGCGCTCACGTAGGCGGTGTCGAAGAACTGGTCGAACGCCTGTGGCAGGACGCCGTTCTTGCCAACGCTGCCATAGAAGCCGGGCGTCGGGTTGGAGGAGCTGGAGGAGTGGCTGGCGCTGGAGCTGCCTTTCACCAGGACCTCTCCCCCCCGTGAGGTCGGGCTCGTCCAGCCGTCCCTGTGCACGATATCATCGGCGTAGCAGTGTGACAGGCTCCCCCTGCTGTGGTGCCATTTACTGGAAGTATCAATCCCATAGTCTCTGAAAGCCACATCTCTCACGGACGGGACCTGTGGCAGCGCTGAGGACTGGTAGGGGTATGTCATGGGGCAAGAGGACTGGCTCTGGGTTAAATAATGAGGGAGACCCGAGAAGTCTGCTCCGGAGACGTAGTAAGTGCAACTCGGTAAATACATATTGGAGCCAGAGATCCGCTCATCAAAATCCATATTCTGCTGGTGGAAACGTCCTATAATAATCCTCGCATAGTTCCTCCGCGGCGCTGCGCTCCAGTCACTTTGAGGCAGACTGGTGGAGCAGAAATCCTTAGACGTACAAGCTGACGTGGGGATCCATCTCTATCCATTCCTGAGGGCCAAAGCCATGTGACCACTGGCACAAAATGACAGATAGCCTACGCCTCAATGTGTAGCCTATATGAGTCAATGAGTTTATAAAGTAGACCTTTGGCTGTATGGGGAAGGAAAAATACTGAGAGGGAATTTTGTTCAGACACAATTTAGGCTATTTTGGATATTTTAAAAACGGGCTCTCTTTCATTGTAGATCTTATGTGGGGTTACTTCTATCTGGCTGTGGACTGAAATCGTTAAATTACCAAATTACAAGGCAGACCAAAACAGAGCATTATATCCAGTTTCACGCCAAGCTGTTTAACCTGCCAATTTGTACCTTTAGGTTCGTTTCTAAACCTATAACCCTCACCTTCACCTTAACCTCAGACGTCTGAAGCATTTTAAGGAGGGAAACATTTTTAGACCATGGCAACGTGATTTAGACTTTGCTACGTGAGGCTTAATCGTCATGGCACAACATTTAATGAGCTAAAACTGAGAACGTGCTGAGTTTGAAATTGCGCGTCATAATTAAGGCCCGTTACGCACATGCGTCAATTATTTTGGATGCTATTTCAGTTAATTTGATCTATTTTAAAACGACTTCACGGTTGAGCAAATGGCAGGTATGACTTCGTCGTCTCTCTGTGTGAATATAACATAGCTCCTTTAGCTATATATAGATTCGAGTGGCGGAGCAATGCGAGCCATGCTGCACTTTTGTCAGGCATCACTCCAGTTTGGCACGCAGGGACAGAAAGACAAAGGCCTGTAAAGTCACGCTTGGTTATCTGTCTTATGGCTGCTATATGTTAGTTTGGACCAGTATTTTCAGGATCATTGCAACATGCCAGCACAACTCTGTTGCAGAAGTTACTATATGCCCAAATTTATGTTTAAATGCGTGCTGGATTTGTCTGTTTTTACGCGTAAAAGTTGATAAACGGACCAGAAGCAGCCTGAATGAAGTTCATATGAGGCTAATCAGCTGATATATATACACGCAGTCACGGCAAAGCATCCTTAACATTTAATATAAACATACAGATGTTGTTTATAGGCTTCTAATAATGAAGGTATTATCAAAGGGGCTCCAGCCTTTGCATCGCCTGCATGTTCTCTCTTTGCAACGCCCAATATAAACCTTTGGACACGGGCTATTTCCCACACTCCAATCCATTTTCATTTGTCATCACTGCTCAGTAAGTGGGCACATGTGTCACATATCACTAATCCTGTTATGCAGCCAATTTTGGAATTTAGTCCAAATTCACTTTTTCATACATCAAAGCCTGTGAATTTGTCGTGTGCAGGGAAGCATTAGGAGACTGCGCAATATTTCATTCACTCCAGGTGGTTTGCTGTTTGACTTCAACGGTGAAACTGTTATTCATTTGGCGATTAGAATAGTCTTATATGATAATTTAGACCATAATTCCCATTTTGATTCTTTTCAGCCTCTCCTGCGCAGCGTTAGGCTGCAGGGGTGGCCCCGTTTGACACATTAAACCTCTCTTTTTTTAATTCTCACAGCACAGTTTTCAAACACCTTCAACCACGAAATTATTTGGCAACACTGTTTATCCCGAGCCAGTATGTAAGATGCGTATTAACATAGTAATATAAGTAAGAGTGGTTTCATTAGTATCTCGTGGCTAGTGCGCACGTCGGATGTGTGTGTAAACAAAAAGCTGGTAAACCTTGACCTCCAGCCGGCTTTCAGAATTTGGAAAACAAATGCGCAAAAACACATTTCCATAAAATTTAAATTTCTCTTTTTCCATAGATCCACTTTAGCTTAACTGTACGGAATTACTGTTTTTGCAAAGTAAGATTTTTTTTAATGTCACCTTAAACGATAGGTTAATATTTTGAATAAAAAGTGTTCGCCTACTAAAACCAATTTATTTTTACCAAAAGAATTTCCTGGTATCATTATATCACACTGCTTAGACGATCACATGAAAGTCAAGGCTGGTTGACCGTGTCTGAGTTGTCTTCAAGGGTTCAGATGCAATAAAGTTGGAGGGGGAGATGAAAAAAACAAACATGTGGCCTAATACCTGCAGCACAAGCCCCCTGTAGGTCTTTATCACACATTTATTCTTCTGCAGAAGAATATTTACATGTGATATTTATCTCAGTGTGGCAGAAAATGCAAAAGCTGGATGTGTAAAAATACGTTTAAGATGTAGCAGTCAGTGGTGGGTGATGTGGCTGTGTGAGGAGGAAGCTTCAGGGGATTTTAAAAATAAAAGCAGTTTTCTTGGTTTCCCTGAAATTTCCTTCGACACTTCAGGAGGAATGTGGTTTAACTTAACTGCCTTGAAATCTGTGTGCGCCTCCTGCCTTCCCCGGTTCCT